AGTAGTAAACCCTAATGTTAACTCTGAGCTTTGGATGATAATAACATGTCAACGTAGATTCATTGATTATAACAAATACATCCTTCTGATGGACTCCAACAGGGCCAGTGCCGAGGCTACACGTATGTGGGAACTCTGTTCTTTCTGCTCTAAAAAATACGGTTGTACCTAAAACTGCTCTGAAAAATAAAGTCTATTAAAAAAAAGAAAAGAAAAAATGACATTTTTGTCCCTTAACCTAGGTATTCTATTTCTAGGACTTTACCCTAAAGAAATAAGAATGTTCACTATAGCTTTTTATTTATTCATTCAATCATTTATTTTATTTTTTATTGCTACATACTAGATGTATATATTTTTAGGATACATGCAATAAGTTGACACATTCACATAATCTAATTGGAGTAATTGGGATATTCATTACCCTAAACATTTATATTTTCTTTATACTAGGAACATTTGAATTATTCTCTCCTAGGTATTATAAAGTGTAGAATTAATTAACGTTAACTATAGTCACCCTATTGATCTATCGGTTAAAAAAAACCCTGCAAGATTGCAAATATCTATAGATAATTTTGTTTTTAAAAAAGACAACTAAATTACAATACATCCATACTTGTTGAGGTCAAAAATTAGGAAGTTGTAGAAGTACTGAGAAGGAACAAAGTCCTAAATGTATTTTTAAGAATAAATTGATGAACAGTTCATATTTTATGATAAAAATATATACATTAATCAATATGCATTAACATATCAGAAAAGGCATATGTATTGTAAAATAATAAAAATAGGAGAGCTTTCACGCTATCTGTATTATATATTGAATTTTCTACAATAGTATTATTATTATTTTTTTTTTTTTGAGACAGAGTCTCGCTTTGTTGCACAGGCTAGAGTGAGTGCCATGGCGTCAGCCTAGCTCACAGCAACCTCAAACTCCTGGGCTCAAGCAATCCTCCTGCCTCAGCCTCCCAAGTAGCTGGGACTACAGGCATGTGCCACCACGCCCGGCTAATTTTTATATATATATATTAGTTGGCCAATTAATTTCTTTCTATTTATAGTAGAGACGGGGTCTTGCTCTTGCTCAGGCTGGTTTCGAACTCCTGACCTCGAGCAATCCGCCCGCCTCGGCCTCCCAAAGTGCTAGGATTACAGGCGTGAGCCACCGCGCCCGGCCAATAGTATTATTTTTTATAACCACAAAATCATTTTATAAGTTCTCAGTAACCCTAAAAGGCAGAACTCTAAACAGCCGCTGTGAGAAGACAGAAACCAACATATGAAAGCCAGGGATGTACAGACACCTTTACATATAATTTTTGGGCATGTGCTAGAAATCTACACATGTCCTAAATCTCCTATTTCTACTTAAAGTCAGAATAAATATTGGACAGTCAAGACTTCCACAATTTTTCAAAACAAACAAGAAAGGTAAGTAGAAAAAACTTTTTTGCCTATAGGTTGGGGAGAAGAACAGGTGAGGGGAAAATGATGGATGGCAAAGAGAATAAACTCTGTATAGTTGTTTGTATCAACATTAATTACAATTATATTTCAAGGCATGGCTGAGATTAGACTACTGGTCAGGGAGTGTGATTCCCAAAGCTCCACAAATGGGAACTTGCTCAGAGGAACCTAACTCACATCAAGGGACTACACTATGTTCACATCCTCACACTTGAGAGGTAAAGTACATTCCCTTCAACCCACAATTCCATTCCTAGGAAATACTAGGAATACATTAAGAAAATACTAAAAAACAAAAAAGACAAAGCTCTGTGACTCAGTTTTTCACTGTAGTCTTCTTTTTTAATAGCAACAAATTAGAAATGATTTAAATTTTCAATGCAGCAATGGTTACACTAGGACAGTCATCTAATGGAATATTACAGTTATTTAAAATTTGAAAAAGGATCTTAACAACATAGGAACTGCTTACTTCAGTGGTTAAGAAGACAACACACAGACATACACACACACCAAGAGACGGTCCATCATCTCACTCATATAAATAGGTACAGGAAAGAAAGACTGGAAGAAACACCCCCCCAAAATTTAATAGTTGTGATGAAATAATGGGTGAGGTCTCTTCCACTCTCGGGGCTGACCCATTCCTTCTCTGGAATGTATTATGCTTTAATAAACTTTGGCACTTTGCTTGCTTGCAAAAAAAAAGGGAGCGGATTTTTTCTTCTGTATACTTTTCAGTGTCTTTTGAACTTTTAACAATTTAAAAATACTGCTTTTTTTTTTTTTTTAAGAGACAGGGTCTTGCTCTGTCACCCAGTCTGGAATGCAGTGTCATGATCACAGCTAACTGCAACCTCAAACTCCTAGGCTCAAGCAGTCATCCTGTCTCAGCCTTCTGAATAACTGGGACTACAGGTGTGTGCCACAGCACCTGGCTAATTTTTTTCAATTTTTTTTAAGAGATGGGGTCTTGCTATGTTGCCCAAGCTGGTCTCAAACTGCTGGCCTCAACCAATCCTCCTGCTCAGTCTCCCAAAGTGCTGGAATTACACCCAAGAGCCACTGTGCCCAGCCATAAGTCACTTTTAAAGTTTAAGGTTTCGGCCAAATTTAAAAATTACTACGAGCAGTGCTTGCAGTTAATTACAAATTTATTTTTGGCAATACTACTGTTTAAAAATCTATTAACTTTCCATATTCTGCTCTTTTCTTCCACATCTATGAAGAATAAGATAATATTAAAATTAAATACTGACTCCAAAGACTACATTAGGTAATACAATGGCAGGAGATACTAATAGAACTTAAAGTGTAATTAACAGAAGGATAGTGGCTGGAATGAAGACAGGTCTGAGGCTTTAAGAATGTAGCCTGAGAGGTACATCATAGTGCGACCCAGGAATGAACAATCAGTAAACCTGGATGCTACTCCTGGCTCCAAGACAATCTATGTTAGTTTCACAACCCTCTTTCCACTATGCAGTGTCATCTGCAAAATAGAGACAAATCTTTCTCTTGAACACTGAATGATGCAGGAGCATGAAAAGCATTTTAGTACTATGCTTGGCATAAAGGCTTAACAAGTGCTCACCATGCTTAATATTCAGTTCTGAAAACCACAATTTAACACAGGCACTGTGACCAACCGGAATATATCAGGAGGGCAACAGACATGAAAAGAGACCCAAAATTCAAACCATCTGAAAAAATGCTCGAAGCAACAAGGTTGGGGTAACTTGAACTTGGACAGTAAGGGAATTAGGATGACTGAACATCTATCTACAAACTCATCTGGAAGCAGATTTACTTAGCAGAGTAAAGGAAAACAAAGTTTTACAAATTACAAGGAGGTGGATTTTCCACTTTCTGTAAGAAATAACATGTTCAAAAATGGAATGGATCGCTTTTGAAAGGTACTGCAAAGTGCTGGGGGGGGGGGGACAATACTTTAAAAAGGTCTTCCCAGGGACAGTAACGGCATTAGAAATGCCAACTTTGCTCATTACTCTTCATCAAAAACTCATAAAACAGCAGCCAGACAGTGGTAAAATTAAGATAATCTTTTTTTTAAAAATCAGATTAGATTGAGAAGAGTCTTGATATTGCTAAGATTAACATTACTAAGAGTACTTGGATTTTCCATGCCTCATTAAGGGTATCATACAAAAAAATGGATACTTCGAGGTCAAAATTCAACATGCCTCCTTATAATGTGAGCTCTTAGCACCTCAAATACACTAACACAGATTGTGAATATGCACGAGGAAGATGGAGAACATGCATCACCTCACACTGAATTGGCACTGGAATCCTGTTCACACCTATTTTAATGCAGCAAAACATAACTGGAAAATCCTAATCAAAGCCTCAGAGTTCTCTGCTTTACTCACAGTTTCACAGATTGCCCATGCACGTTTACCACTGGTAGCTTTCTAAGCCCCACCGTGTTTGAGAGGAATGATTCTTAATCTACTTTTTTCAAAGATCCCTCTGCGGATCCAACAAACCCATATAAATACCATCCATGGACCTCCAACGAAAATTTCTCAAACGGGATTTAGTTTGTCTTTGCTTTTTTAAGTTATGAAGACAACAAAGACCTTGAAAATGGCAAAGACTTATACTAATATATTAGGAGGTGTAAAATTAATCTTGCATGGTATCATTTGAGCAGAGGAGAAAATACAGCTAATATTAATGGCTATAGGACCCCTACCCTCAAAATAAAATGTAGCTCAGAATATTTACCCTGATCAAATTTTAAACACTGTCAAATAGCCAATTCAAAAACTGAACTTCCAGTTAGGCTCATGTCCTACATTATAAGTCCTATTTCCGATGATATATATCTGTCCTTTGTAATCCTTCAAATTAAAACTTATTTAACTCTTTGTCTTTATAGAGCTGTAAAGTCCCAGCTGAGGGAGTTATACTGCATTAAAATTTTCTTTCCATTCTGAGCCTTTTCTCTTAGTTATGTCAGTATTAGCTTATATAGCTCCTTTATTCCCCCCTTTGGGAGTCAGGGGTCTGTCACCCAGGCTAGAGTACAGTGGAACCATCACAGCTCACTGTAACTTTGAACTCCTGGGCTCAAGTGATCCTACTGCCTCAGCCTCCCAAGTAGCTTTGACTACAGGCATGTGCCACCACGCCCAGCTAATTTTTCTATTTTTCTATAGAGACAGAGTCTTGCTATGCTGCCCAGGCTGGGTTTCAAACTCCTGGCCTCAAACAATCCTCCTGCCTCTGCCTCTCAAAGCACAGGGATTACAGGTGTGAGCCACCACACCCCGCCTTATGCAGCATTTTGAAAAACATGGAAGATTATTAAATCATAGGTTAGGAATCTTTCATTCATTATGACAGATCACAGTAATGAAATACACACTTTCGAACTCTTCAAGTTATTTTAAAGCGTAAGAGAAATATAACATAAATATAAGACCTTTCAGCCATAAAGGTGCCTTTAAAACTTTATATTAAATAGGAAAGGTGGAAAATAAAGGTGCTTTAAGACTTACGTTTTGCTTCTGACAGATTCTGATTAGGTGACCAGACCAACATGCCAAGATTGTCACGTTCTTGACTGCGTCTTGCCAATTTGGCTTGGTAGAAAGAAAAAAGAATATTCTTGTTAAACTTTAACAGGTATAAAAAGCAGTAAGCAACATGCTTCTTGTCTTTTAAGCCTCAGAACATGACATCACCCACTCTTTACCTACATCTGCCCCAACAGAACCACACACTTAACATCACGTCAGGAAGATGGGGTGGGAGAGGCCACAAGTTCTTTCTTACCCTACATCTCTCTTTTTTTTTTTTTGAGACAGGGTCTTACTCTGTTGTGGAAGCTGGAATGCAGTGGCGTGACCCTAGCACACTGTAGCCTTGAACTCCTGGGCTCACGTGATTCTCCTGCCTCAGCCTCCTGAGTAGCTGGGACTACAGGCACATGCCACCACTCTCGACTAATTTTTTTTATTTTTTGTAGAGATGAGGTCTCACTATGGTGCCCAGGTTGGTCTTGAATTCCTGGTCTCAAGCTATCCTCCTGCCTTGGCCTCTCAAAGTGCTGGGATTACAGGCATGAGCTACCGCACCTGGCATATTGTATTTATTAATAATAAAGTTCCCAAAGCACAAGAGTAATGATGCTCGCAAGCTGTTGTAATTGTTCTATTTTATTATTAGTTGTTGCTAATCTCTCACTGTGCCTAATTTATAATATAAACTTTATCACATGTATGTACTATAGGAAAAACGATAGTACATACACAGTTCGTTACTATCCGTGGTGTGAGGCACCCACTGGGGGTCTTGGAATGTATCCCTTGTGGATAAGGGTGGACTACTGTATACATGTCTTAACACTCACAAATATATAGACCCAAAATTAGTCAACTTAGCTACATGAAAATTGAAAAATATAAAGACAATGAAAGCAAAGCAATGCCATTAATTTCTGGGTAGATACTGATGTCTGCTGAAGGTGCTAACTCTGAGGCTACTCTCTTTGTTTAAAGTCAATCACCAAATGTTACAGATCTTAAAAAATAAGCCCACACCTATCTGGAGTAATTAGAAAGATGATAAGGAAATTGAAATTAACAGTTGCCATCAAGGGGGAGAAAAAAGGGAATTGACACTGCTAGTGGGAATGTGTAGTTGTACAACTATTTCAGGGAGAAATCTAGCACCCTATGATAAGGTTGAATTAAAGACTTCCTGCTACCCAGCAATTCCATTTGTTGACTTGATATATATGCAACAGCAATGTTTTCCAAATTGCTTTTCAGACCTATTGATATTAATTCATTGGGTCCCTCATCAGCTTTTCTTAAAAAAGGAGTAAGAATGGAAAATATTAGCATATTTCATTAAGTGTGTGTATACAAACTATCACTGAAGATTTTTAAAAGTCTGCAAGTCCCTGCCCTAGAGACTTCAAGAGGTACACATAGAACAGCGTGTTGCTAAGTTTAATGTATCAACTTGGCTAGCCTATAGTTCCCAATTATTTAATTAAACACTAAGTGTTGCCATGAAAGTATCTGGTAGATTTAGTTAACATTCATAATTAACTGGATTTAAGGAAAGGAGATCATCCTCTGTAAAATGGGTGGGCCTCATCCAATCCACTGTAAGGCCTTAAAGAGAAAAACCGAGAATTTCCAGAAGAAATTGAGACTGAAGCCTCAACTCCTCCATGCAGGCCTGCCCAACAGATTTCAGATATGTCAGGCAGCCACAACCACATAAACCAATTCCTTAAAATAAATCTCTAGAATGTGCACAAAGACACACACCCATACATATTCTATTAGTTCTGTTTATCTGGAGAACATTGACTGATATGGAGATTTAGTATAACACTTTTATAGTACCACAATACAGGAAAATCTTTACAGCTCATGAACAGGGATTGGAAAAATTGTGGCATATATAACAATTTCAAAGGAATTAAATACAGAAAAACAATCACATCTAAAGATATCAACCACTTTCAACACAAAAAGTTAAAGGAAATGTATACTATCATATACTAAAGTACAAAACTGGTACCATTAGTTATGGGGGCACATACTTTTAAAGAATAAGATATGCATGATAAAGACATTAAAGAATCAGGTTAACAGCCATTCTAAGAGAGGGAGCTCTTGCTTTGTAACTTCTGTAACTGCTCTTTGCAAATCTGGGTGGTAGTAAACAAGTAGTAGACAAAAATTTTTATGTTTGTACAATTTCAAAACACTTTTTAAAAAGATTTAGAAAGGTCAGGCATGACGCCTGTAATCCTAGCACTTTGGGAGGCCAAGAAAGGAAGATCACTTGAGGCCAGGAGTTTAAGATCAGCCTGGGCAACCTAGCAAGACCCCATCTCTACAAAAAAATTTAAAAATTAGCCAGGCGTGGTAGTGCATAGCTGTAGTCCTAGCTACTAGGGAGGCTAGGGCTGGAGGATCACTTGAGCCCAGGAGTTGGAGGTTGCAGTGAGCTACCAACATGCCATAGCACTCTAGCCTGGGCAACAGAACAAGACCTTATCATTCATTCATACACATATACATAAAAGCCTTCACTGTGTGATTTCATGTTACCTAAGACAGTGTCTCTGCTCAAATTTAAAGTTACCTTGTCTCATAGGAAGAAAAAATACTCTTCTAGTGTTATTTTCTGTTCTGCCCTGAAACCCTGAATTAGTTATTAATCAATAACACTGCATTTTATTTGACAACTGTTTGGGAGCAGAGTAGCCAATTACATTTACATTCCCACCAGCAGTGTAGGAGGGTTCCAATTTCTCTACATTATCACCAACACTTGTTATTATTTGATCCTTTTTTTTTTTTTAAAGAGATGGGGGCTGGGCGCAGTGGCTCATGCCTGTAATCCTAGCACTCTGGGAGGCCAAGGCGGGTGGATTGTTCGAGGTCAGGAGTTTGAAACCAGCCTGAGCAAGAGCGAGACCCCGTCTCTACTATAAATAGAAAGAAATTAATTGGCCAACTAATATATATATACAAAAAATTAGCCAGGCATGGTGACGCATGCCTGTAGTTCCAGCTACTCGGGAGGCTGAGGCAGGAGGATTGCTTGAGCCCAGGAGTTTGAGGTTGCTGTGAGCTAGGCTGACGCCACAGCGCTCACTCTAGCCTGGTGAGACTCTGTCTCAAAAAAAAAAAAAGGGGGGGGGGAGGTGGAGTTTCACTGTGTTGCCCAGGCTGGAATATAGTGGCTATTCCCAGGCACGATCCCAGCGCACTGTAATACCGACTTTCTGGACTAAAGTGATCCTCCCACCTCAGTCCCCCTAGCAGCTGGGACTATAGCATGCACCACCACACCTAACTGACTTTTTAATTTTAGCCAACAGGTGTGAAGCAGTCTCTCACTGTGATTTTGATTTGCATTTCCTTGATAAATAATGATGTTGAGCATATTGGATGTGTTTACTGTCCATTTGTATATTTTCCTTGGAGAAATGTCTATTCGGATCCTTTGACTACTTTTAATTGAATTATTTGTCTATAATAGAATGCTGGGAATGTAAAATGGTACAATTCCTCAAAAGGATAAACAGTAACCATGTAACTCAATAGTTCTACTCTAAGGTATATAGCCCTGATAAATAAAACCATGTCCACAAAGTAACTTGTACACAAATGTTCACAGCAGCATTATTCATAATAGCCAAAAGGTGGAAGCAACCCAAATGCCCGTTCAACTGATGACCGAATAAACAAAATGCAGTATTTATCTATATGTTGAATTATTATCCTTCCATAAAAAGGAATAAAGTACTAATACATGCTCACTATGGATAAAACTTGAAAACACTATGCTAAGTGCAAGCAGCTAGTAACACATACAAAAAACCCAAAACATGTTGTGTAACTTCTTTTATATGAAATGTCTGGACAGAAAGTAGATTAATGGCTGCTAGACACGGGTACTTGGGAATAATGGGAAGTCACTGCTAATAGGTATGGGATGATGAGAATGTTTTAAATTTGATTTGTGATGATGGCTGTACAACTCTGAAAATATTGAAAAACCACTGAATCATACATTTTAAATAGTGAATTGTATGTTTTGTGATTATCTCTCTCTCTTTTTTTTTTTTTGAGACAGAGTCTCACTCTGCTGTCTGGACTAGAGTGCCATGGCATCAGCCTAGCTCACAGCAACCTCAAACTCCTGGGCTGAAGCGATCCTACTGTCTCAGCCTCCCGAGTAGCTGGGACTATAGGCATGTGCCACCGTGCCCGGCTAATTTTTTCTATATATATTAGTTGGCCAATTAATTTCTTTCTATTTATAGTAGAGATGGGGTCTCGCTCTTGCTCAGGCTGGTGTCGAACTCCTGACCTCGAGCAATCTGCCCACCTCGGCCTCTCAGAGTGCTAGGATTACAGGCGTGAGCCACTGCGCCCGGCCAATAAGCCCATTTTAAAAGGGATAAAGTAGCTGGGCATGGGGGCTCATGCCTGTAATGCCAGCACTTTGATTACCTCAGGTGATAATCTAAAGAAAAACTAAAAGATACAGAAGATCTAAACACAATAAACAAGCTTTTTTATTGGACATGCTTTGAAAGCTGTGTCTAATAATTACAATATAAACATTAAGAAAATTTACAGAACAGTTACAAAAACTGACTATGTATTAATACAAGGTCATAAAGCATCTCTTCAAACATGCTAGAGAATAGCATATAGATTACATGTTCTAATTACAATGAAACTAAAACACAATTAAAACATACACCAAAAATCTTTATATATTCAGAAGTGATAAAATACTCAAATAACTATCAGTCAACAAAAAAATCTTAACAAAAATGTAAGTTACTTAAAATTGAACGAGAAGGGACTATAAACTTATGGGAAATAATGGAAGGGGTAGTTTTAAGTATAGCTCTGAATGCTTATGATAAAATTAGAGAGCCTAAAAATTAGTTTGCTTGGCCGGGCGCTGTGGCTCACGCCTATAATCCTAGCTCTTGGGAGGCCGAGGCGGGTGGATTGCTCAAGGTCAGAGTTCAAACCAGCCTGAGCAAGAGCGAGACCCGTCTCACTATAAATAGAAAGAAATTAATTGGCCA